AGACCCTCTCCCAGACAGACAAGTGTCAAATATTCATGGGGATGACCCAGCAGTCACTGCCTCCCACCTCCCACCCTCTCCCACAGTCTGACGAGCCTTGGCATCAGTTTCTCCTGGGCAGCTGTGTGATCCTGCTTGGGCTGGGGCTCATCTCCTCCCTGTCAGATTCCACAGGCTCATCCCACCCACTTCACAGAGTGAGGCTGTCACAAACCCTGCCCCTTGGGCTTACAGGCGGGTAGGGAGGTCCTGGCTCCTCAGGCCAGGTTTAGGTGCTTTCTCCACCACCTTACCCCCCTCTCTCCACCAGAGAGGACACTCTGGGGCTTCTTAGCACCAAGAGTCTGTCAGGACATTTGTAAACAGTAACTCTTAGAAGATTGGTGACTTGGTAAGCAAGCTAGGGACACCCTCCTTAGACTTCTCAGGTCTGCCCAGGAGCCTGGCCACTAGGAACAGGAGCTGTAGTTTAGTGTGGCCTTGTTCTTGTTGTTGTTATTTGCCGTCGAGTCGGCCCCGACTCATAGTGACCCCTCCTTGGGTTTCCGAGGCAGTATCACTACGGAAGTAGGATTGCCCAAGGATTGCCCAACCTTCCTTCCGAGGGGTGGCTGGTGGGTTTGAACCGCCAGCCTTCTGGTTAGCAGTCAAGTGCTTTAGCCACTATGCTACCAGAGCTCCTTAGCAAGTCCTTAAACTTCTCAGGGAGTTAGTCTCCTCATCTGTAAAATGAAGTGATACTGCCAACCTCATGGGGTTGAAGTGTGAATGAGATGATAGGGTATTGCGGCTCAGAGTAGACTCGCACTAAAAGGAACTCTCAGCCCTGCCCTGTGGGGCCCTCTCCACCTCCCCAGGTGGATAGAACCATTGTCAGCTAGAACCTGGGGCTACAGCTGGGTCTCTCCCTGTCAGCCCAGGCCCGGGGCTGCAGACCAGAGACCCTGTGACCAGCACAGGCTCTGTAAGTGCAGCTGTTGCCAGCCAGCACCAGCTCTGCTCTGGCACATAGGGGCTTCCCACAGATAGCTCCTGCCAGAGGCTCTGGGGCCCAGCCCGGTTCCTCCTTCAGAAGTCTTCCAGGCTGCTTGTAGAGCCAAAGGCTGAAAATTCATTCATAAATGAAGCTCCAGCTGCCCATCTTTCCCCTGCCTCCTTCCTGGACTGAAATAAAGACTTTATTCATCAAGGCCACTTCTCTCCTGAGTAAGATCATTAATAACGGAGAAGGTGCATCTGACCACAGCCTAAACAGGACCAATGTTTGTGTATGTGTGGGTTCATGCACATGTGTGCATCTGTGTGTATAGGAAGCTTCCCTCAGCATCATAGGAATCCCTCTTTCTGCTGCAGCAGGAAGGTAGTGCTTCCCCTTGACAGAACTCTGGGCACCACCGATACCCTGCGTTGCAGGGATGAACACTGGAGAAGGGAAACAGCTGGGGGTGTGTGGCTAAGGGTATGTATGGAGAGATAGGTGTGATAACTGTGAGATAAGGGGCTGTCAGCCTGGGACCTGGCTGGAGGGGACCACAAAAGCCAAGATAAGGGACTTGGACATCTCCTTGCCAAGATGGCAGGGAGGGCTGGAGGAGGCCCTATTGTTGTCCAGGTGAGACAGAAACTGACCAGTAGACTGACTGTCCAGTCCCAAATGTGAACATCTGGTGGCTCCTCCCCACCTAACTCAAGCCTGCAAGATGGAACAGACCAGCATTCCCTCACACGGGTATTGCTTGAACTTCATAATTTAGGGTACATTGGTAGGGCTTTTGTTTATCTCCGTGTTCAGGAAACTCCCCCAGTGCAGACACCAAGACAGCCTAAAAGACCAGACGATTGCTTTCCCTGCTGCCTTGGCAGCCAGAGAAGGGACATGTTTGGGGCTTATACAACTGAACTCCTCCTCCACTCTTGACTTTGAACCTAGAGCCGGTAACTCAACAAAGACAACCAGCAGCAGCCTCCTGGTCTCAGAAGCATCAGGGCCATGAGGTCTGTGAGGACCCCAAGCCCCATGTCCCTGGGGGTGGCAGTGCCAGCAGCAGGGGTCAGCAGTACAGAGGTGTCCTCATTGGCCTGTCCTCTGGTCTTGCAGTGCAATGAATTACTTAATATGGCCCTTCTAGCCATAGTCTTCCATTTTGTGATGTATTGTGAATCCTAGAGCTCTGGTGATATAGTGCCTAAGGCATTTGCCTGCTAACCAGAAGGGTGGTGGTTCAAACCCACCAGCCACTCCATGGAAGGAAGACTGGACAACCTACTTCCATAAAGATTTACTACCTCGGAAACCTAAAGGCAGTCGCTATGAGTCAGAATCAACTCAATGGCAGTGAGTTTGTTTTTTTAGCATGCCTGTGGTTCTGGTACCATTTTGGAGTGAATTGTCCATTACGTTAATGAGGTAGGGTTAGGATGGGATGTGTCTTGAGTCTCATCTTACCAGAGGGTGTGACTCAAGCCACCACCCTTAGTTTCTTTGAGGGCTTATATGTGAATTCTCTAGCAAAGCTCACTCTCTTGCTCTGGATCCTACATCTGATTCATCATTATCTCACCCTTGGTTCTTGGGGCTTGAAACAGCAGTTATCTGACCTGCTGATTTAGGTTAATCCACTCCTGCAACCATGTGAGTGAGGAGAATCATCCAGACTGACACCTGACCCATGGATTTGGGACTTGCCAGCCTCCAGAACTGCATGAGCCATTTTTTTGTTGGCAGTTTGTGAGTTCTGTGAGACATTACAATGAAATATGGAACCCTGACAGAGGGACTGAGGGGAATAGGAGTAGTTGATGTTAGAGATGCTGGAGTGGTACAGCCGTTTGGAAAAAGTGGACATTTGAGACATCTTTAACCTCCATCTGATAGGGACCAGCCTTGTGCTGATCCTTTAAGAAGAAATTATTCGAGCAGGTCTGGTCATGGCCAGGGTCTGGCTGGCTGTCTCCCATTCTTTCCTCTTGTCTAATTCCAAGCCTGCCTTTCTGTCCTTCCTGGGGAGGCTGTGACAGCCTGATTTCTGTTTCCAATTCTTTTCTGATTTAAATCAGCCTGGGTCACTTTCTGTCACTTGCATCTGAGAACCTTGACCAGTTCAGGGGCTGAGTTTGGGGCACCACATCCACAGAGCCTGCCTGCTTGGACATCTGTCTGTCTGTAATTTACTCAGAACAACCTAATACTTTTCAGTACTGTACAAGACTGTACAAGTACTGGTTCATCATATCAAAATAGCACACATGGAATGCCATAGCCTACCCACACCCAGTGGCCATCACAGCTGGCTCATGTTTGTAGAGACAGACTCTAACCAAACCCAACCACTCAGAAATGGCACCCACAGGGATGCTGTTCTCTTCCAAGACTGAAACAGGCAGCATGGACCAAATGGGAATAGGAACTACCAGTGGGCAGTGACTAGTAATCAAATAGCCAGGTCACACTTGTCACACAACTGGCTCTGAGCAGGATAGAATGGGACAAAGACAACAAATGAGACTCAGCAGATGCACAAAGGGGGACCTTGGCCAATGGCAGCTGGCCTGTGCACAACCCTCACCTGGACCTTGCTGACAAGAGACTACCTTTGCCGCTACTGTGGGCACTGAGAAATGTGAGTGTTTAGGAGCCAAGAGTTAGGGGCTCAAAATAGGAAAGAAAGTTGCAGGAAAGTAAGTCTTGTTGCTCTGGACCTTCTGGATCATTCCTGGATCTTCAGTTTCGAGCTTACAGCTTTTCGTGTCTTGATAACCTGCCACCCCAGCTCCCTCCTCCAAGATCCTTCCAAAATCAGTTGTTTGTTTCTTTAGATCATCATCCATTAGGGTAATGGATTGTATAAATTTGTCCCCTCCCAGTGGCCCCTTGGCCTTTCTTTCATCCTCTTCTTGCCTCAAGGTGAAGGCTCAGGCAGAGCAAGGGCCTTGGCGGGGAGCGAGGAAGCCCACATTTTCTGTGTGACAGTGTGCAGATTTATTCCCTCTCTGGGCTGCAGTCAAGTGAGGAGTTTGAACTGTGATCTCTAAGGGACTATCTAGTTCTGACAATTTGGCCTGTGCTGGGGTGAAGGGGTATTGATGAGCAAGTGTGGGCTCACCCACGACCTCCTCTTACTGAGCCCCCACTCCCTCCTCCCACAGAGGTTTCCCAGGGGTCTGATACTATATCAGAATGGGAGAAAACCATAGGCCTTGCCCACAATCAGAAATTTCTGTCAGAGTTATCACCACACAGCCTGTGCTATTGTGCAACTGTGGACAAGGAAACAAAGCCTCCTCAGGTTTAGGAATCTGGGAGGACTTTGTGGCAGAGGTGACTTGCTGACAGATAAGTGCTGGGCTACTAACTGAAAGATTGGTGGTTCTAACTCACCCAGAGGTGCTTCAGAAGAAAGGTCTGATGATCTACTTTTGAAAACTCACAGCCTTGGAAACCCTGTGAAGCACAATTCTACTTTGCACACACAGGGTCTTGGTAAGTCAGAATCACTTAACAGCAACTAGTCAAGGTCCACTGGCCTGAGCAAGGGAGGCTTTCCAGGTAGGAAAAAGAGCCTGGGCAAAGAGCTCATTCACTCAGCAGGGAGCAGGTTGGTGCTGCTGGGGGGGTGGGGTACGGGAGGCAAAGGTGTGTGTTCTCAACCCACTCCTCCATTTTGGGGCATTGTGGCTGCTTATCCAGTGGAGGCTGCCTGTGCCTATAAGGTGGCCCTTAGAGGAAGAGAAGGGCTGGTGAGAGGTGGGCGGGAGATGCCTAATGCAAGGGGTAAAGGAGGCCGTGCAAAGGCTTGATCTGGCTGGTGCAGCAGCAAAGCCCCAGGAATTCTTCAGCCAGGACTGGAGGCTTCTGGCATGCACGTCCTGGAAGAAGAGTGCCAGCATAGTATTAACACTGGCCTTCCCCAGAGGATCAGGGCTGTCCAGGGGGTGACCCGGAGGTCTTCTCTGTGAACAATGGCTCAGGGCTACTTGTCATATTCCTGCTGCAGGAGGTGATGAAGGCATCAGATGGCAGCCTCTTGGGGGACCCTGGCCGCACACCGCTGAACAAGAAGGAATGCGTCAAATGGCAGAGGCCGCGGCTCACCCGCAAGGCCCTGATGCGATGCTGTCTAGTCAAGTGGATCCTGTCCAGTGCTGCCCCACAGGGCTCAGGTAGGAGCCTGGGGTGGGTTGTGTGTGTGTGTAGGGGGGGGAGTGGGCCAAGGTGGGAGCTGTTCTGAGGTCTGTCCTGAGCAGTAACCTTTCTGAGTGCTCATAGACCACCTAGACTCCAGCCACCACTGCCTCTGCTGGAAGAGGTTTCCATTCACCCAGTGAATGTCCCATGAGGGGCACTGAGCTCCAGGCAGGACTTGTGGAGTGCAGAGGTCAGAGGACTGGGACAATTTTGAGACTTTTGGTTTGGGTAGCTGGGAGGAGAGAGCCAAGTTCAGAGTCTGAGAGGTCAGGTTTTGCCCACCCACCACAAGGCTGGGGGTTCAAACCCACCAGCCACTCCTCAGAAAGAAGATGGGGCGATCTATTTCCATAGTGATACCACCTTGGAAACCCAAGGAGGAGTCACTATGAGTTGGATCCGACTTGACAGCAGTAAGTTGTACTGACCAGTAGGTAACCTCAGGTGGCTCCATCATCCTTTCTAGTCCTCTGAAAAGAGCAGGGCTGACACCACCTCAAGGGCACATTTGAAGATGGCAATAATGTGTGTAGGGACTGGCAAGGAGGAGGCCCAACTGGTGGTCTTCCTCTGTCTTGCCCAGTCACTCTAGGGGCTGGTGCTGGCTCTTGCCCTGGACTGCATTATGGGATTTGTGAGGGAACTGGTAGAAATAGTTGTCTTGTGCTTATTGCAGGTGACATTTGGTGTTTGCTGAGTGTGACATAGCAGGAGATTCAGAGTCGGCCTCACACAGCCTCTGTGTGCTCACACACACATGCACGTGACATACACCTTTTCACACCCACGTACAAACATGTGCAGCCACTCACAAGCATGTACCCACACACAGGCCCACCCACCATGCACACGTGGGCACGCACATGCTCATGTGCACATGTATACCATACAAAAGGCACACACACCACACACTCACATGATCAGGCACACACACATGCCATACATTACACACAGATACATACATAGTACACACTCACATGATCATACATACAAGGCATAGAAATCTTTGTTAAGAAAAAAATGTAGACTTGGGCCTTGACAGTCGCCTCTTGTTTGTTGCCTTGGTCACTATCTAGCTGTGTGATTTGCAGAGAACCTCAGTCCTATCTGTAGAATAAGATAATAAAGTCCCTGCCTCCCAGGCTTGAGGGGAAGTGGGACATGGAGGGAAATGCCTGAGTGACCGAGCAGCAGGCACAGAGGTTGGCAGCACATGGCTCCTGTGTGCTTGGTTCCAGTCCCCCACCTGCAATCCCCACTCCAGGGTGCTCCACAGCACCCTCCAGTCCCTTCTCTTTTTTCTCCCCTGCTCAGCCTGGGCCCATCTATGATACTCTGTTGCCCTCAGCTGGACAGTCCAGTTATGCTCCTGCCTGTTTGTCCCCTGCCCTCCTCTTTTGTATGGAGGCTCCAGCAGAAGTGTTGGTGCTTGTGAATACATGCTGTGGGGTCCATGTGTATCCCCAAACTTCCTGGAGGAAAAGTGGTTTTGCAGATATCAAAACATGATGGAATTGTTAAAAGTACGTGCAAACAGCATAATTGTGAAGCACTCATCTTCACAGTTCTGTTTGTTCTGCAGCAGGGTAAAAGAAAAAACAATAACAAATTTTCTCTGAGAGTGGAGTTTGGAGATTAACCACAGGCACCTGGTAAGTGTGGTCCGTCTTCCTGTCCTGATGGCTCAAAGCCACTTGAAAACAGCTTTGCATTGCTTGGGCTTGAATTTCCCACTGGCTCTCAGTCCTCCAGTGCTTTTTTGGTGGCAGTTATTATTTGAGCGTGATGTTGAAGGAAAATCCTCCTTTCTTTCCCTCTGGGTAGATTTTGCAGATGTTCAGTTTTACCTCCCAGCACCCCTCTTTGTCTCTCCTTCCCTGATTCTATTCATCCCACCCTTCAGTCTCTCTCTTACTGAGCCTGCTGGACCCACATCTCCAATGTCCAATTTTGAGGAGAAATACCTGGTAAACAGTGGTGGTTTGGGATGGGACTGGGACAGGGTATGCGCCCCTTCCCTGAGACGTTAGGATATACCTGTGATAGCCAGGTTGCAGTGTGGGTGGGTGCCATGTCAAGCAAACCAGAGAGTAGGCATGACTTGTCCAAGATCACACAAGAGGAGACTAAGCAGGGACATCATCCATGTCCCACCTTGAGTTAAGGGTGGGCTTTGAGAGGGCAGAGGGGGTGCCTTTTCATTTTCACCTCCCATGCCCTGTTTGCTGAATGGCTGTGAGAAGCATGCAGTCAGGGAGGTAGGCTGGGAGAAAAAGTGGGATAGAATGAAGTGGAGAGAGAAGAGCCCAGGAGACCATTCCAATATGGCTTTGACCAGCCTGTTATGTTCCTTTTGTGAACATGTACTAAGTGGCTAATGTTTACTGGACACTATGGCACACATGGAGAGATTTTAAAAGAAAGAAAAACAAAATCTTATCTAATTGTGTGAGGTAGGCATTGCAGATCTCATCACCCTATTTCACTGAAGCCTCAACTGAAGCCTAGAGATATCAAATGACTCTCCAGGTCACCAGGGAGTGAAGGGAGGGAAGGTGTTCAGTGATGGTCTGTGCTCCAGGCAGCGCACTCACTCAACAGTGCATCTTCCTGGGTCTCTTCTCTCAGGGACATGAGGGAATAGTGAGCCCAGGGACCTGGAGGCAGGAGTCCACTGGGGCAAAAGCCACACCCAACAGACCGACAATCCAGAGCTCCAGTGTGCCCCTTCTCTTCACTGGGCATAGTTCCTGGCCTCCTCACCTCAGTCCCTAAAGGGCAACACTGTTGGTATCATACACTGAGAGCTCTGTGGACGTGTGAAATGCTAAACTGTGCAGATGTCGCCTCTGCTCCTCAGAACACTCTCAGGCTCTGTGTACAGAGAACAATTGCTGCCATTCAGCAGCTCTACACGTGTGTCCAGAGGCCAGCTGCTGTGTCCTGAGCACCTGGTGTCTGAGGAAGTTGGGTGGCACAGACACTGTGCCCTTGTTGTTGGGGTTTTTCCATTCAGTAGAAGCTGGGCCAGAGACACAGATTTCTAGGACAGTCAGGAGAGGAAGTTGACACAAAACAAGCAGATGGCTCTGAAACGTGAGAGAGGGACAGCCTTGGCAAGGAGTGGATGGGACTCTGGGCTGGGAGATGTGAGGACAAAGACTGGGCCTGCTGCAGCTGTTTTCTGGGCAGGTCACTCCTGAACTGTGAAGGTCCCAGTTCCTCCCTCTACCTGCTCACAAGATGGAATTGGAAACTTCAGCATCAGTGCTCTGTAAGATGGTATATTAACGGTGGCTTAAAATTTTTTTTGAAACAACAGAAATTTATAATCTCACGGTTCTGGAGACTAGAAGTCTGAAATCAAGGTATCAGTAGGGCTGCTTCTTTTGAGAGGGCTCTGAGGGACAGTTCAGTCCATGCCTCTTTTCTGGCTTCTAGTGGTGGCCAGCACTCCTTAGCATTCCTTGGTTTATAGACACATCATTAACTTCAATCTTAGCCTCTGATAGCACATGGCATTCTTGTCTCTGTATCATTCTGTGAGACTGACATTTTCATCAGCCACTACCTCCATCTCTGGGAAATACTCATTCCTCCTGTGGTTCTACCACAAAACCTTGTGTAAAACCACAAAGTCCACCATCATTACCAGCACCCTATATAAAAAGCAGAAAAGAATGGGGAGGAGGGAAGGTAAATTAAGGCATTTGGCTGCTAACCAGAAGTTCAGCAGTTCAAACCCATCAGTTGCTCTACAGGAGAAAGATGAGGCAATCTATTTCCTTAAAGATTTATAGTCTTGGAAACCCAATTGGGGTTGCTATGAGTTGGAATTGACTTGATGACAGTGGGGTTTTTGGGGGGGCATGGGGGATGGGGATGGAATATATAAGGAGCTCTGGTAGTACAATGGTTAAGCATTAAACCTTACTACCCGTAAATTTGGCAGTTCAAACCCACCAGCTGCTCCAGGGAAGAAGATTTGAGTATCTGCGCCTGTAAAGACTAAAGACTAAGAAATCCTTTGAGAAAGTTCTCTGCCTTATAGTGTTGCTATAAGTCAGAACCAACTCAACTAGCACTCAAAAACAACATAATATATAATGTTACATATATATGTATCAACAAAATTTTCATTTGTTTGAAACACTAGGATATAATTGACATCATGTTTCAAAATGAGATGCCAGATCAGATGCAAATTTTCAAGTATTTATCTGAAAACTGGTTACATGACTCTTGAACTCTCATTCTCATAAAAAATATAGAAGGTTGAATGATCGAGCCTGGGAAGAGATGATTTGTGAAGAGGATTTCTCTGGAGATAGTGTGTTGTGGGTCCAGTCCCTAAAGTTGGGGGATGTTTTGATTACCTTTTGTTACCTAAAAATACCAGAAAGCATAGTGACTTAAAACAACAAGCATTTCATTTGCTTTTGATTCTGTGGGTCAGGAATTTGAGCAAATCTCACTTGGATGTGGCATCAGTAGTGACAATTCACTTGCTGCTTCATTTGGCTGGAGACTGGGTAGGCTGGGCTGGAAGGTTCAAGAAGGTTTCATTCATGTGTCTGGTGCTTCTGCACAGTCCATCTCCACATGACCTGTCTCTACCCTCACGGCTGTTTGGGCTTCCTCATAGTATGGTGGTCTTGGCTACTCAGACTTCTTACATGATGGCTGTTGTTCCAGTAAGTAAAAGCAGAAGATTTAGGAGCTCTTGGGGCCTACATTTTAGAACTCACACAACATCACTTGTGCTGCATTCCATTGACCAAAACAAGTCACAGCAGAGGGGAAATAGACTCTATCTTTCCATGGAGTTGTGATATAAAATTCACGACTATCTTTAATGTACCATAACGTCTTCAACTATGAGTCCTTGGTGGGGTGATCTAAAGCCTCATTTCTGAGTGACCTGGGCCTTTGGTGGTCCTACCTCAATGAAGTTGCTATAACTTTTACCACTGCA